CTCGGTAGTTAGACCCTGTAGCCCCTGTACTGAGTACACAAAAAAGAATAAATCTCAGCATTGTGATAATTAATTGAATTAATTTCTATAAAATGTTCACAAATTGTTAACTATTAGCATCAACACCTATACATATTCAGCTTACTTTCCCTGCTCTACCCATATTTCTTTTCACTGATTCGAAGCTCCGTGGCGATGTGTACCTTTATGGGAGGCCTTCATCTACCTTATATCCTTCCAGGTGCGTCTGTGCACGCACTGCCCAAATTGAAAGATGTTACATGAATAGAATACATCAAATGACTGCAGAGGTAGAATATAATACATGACACTCACTCTGAGGACTAAAATAAATTTTTAAGTTTTACCAATTATATTTGGCATCAAGAACAGACAGCCCTAGGTTTTAAGTGCATAAAGCTCCATAGAAATCACCAAGATGAAAAGGAACATTTATAACTACCTGCACTGACCACGTTGTTTCATCTTCTTGGGGACTTCACATATCCCCTCCTCTCTGCCTGCTATGGAATGGGATTTGTTTATTTTTCTGAGTTTAGGTCATGGGTCACTATGATGTATATTTTTTAAGTCTTCATTAGATTTGTTGCTTTGTTCCACCAACTCTAGACCTTCTAGTCTGATGTAGTTCAGTAGCTCCACTCACTGTACTATCACACAGTTTCTTTGTTGCCTTAGGGGACTCTGGGCCAAAATGTATATTTTCCTTTATGCTTCAGTGAGACCCTTTGGTAGTTGGTGCTCAAGAAACAAGGAAATGCAATCACATCTTGTTGCTTCGAAAGAAGCTCAGACAGGGTGACACCTTGCTCAGAGCCACTCCTGATTGGAGAGTAGCTTACATCTCAAGCTTAGCACAAGGGAGACATCACCTCACAGGTGCCAAAGAGAACCCCCATGTGGACCTGCCATTCTGACATAATTATCTGCAGTGCCCTTTCATCGGGAAACACCACAATTAGGAAGACAGACATTGCAGTCACTCCACATAGCACCTGTCCCCGTGCTGGTTTCTCTCCAGGTTGAATGGCATTGCTGGTGTGTGTGTGTGTGTGTGTGTGTGTGTGTGTGTGTGTGT